TTCTCTACAATTCCTTGCCTGTCTTTCAGTTGTTTTGAAATGCACAGTTTGGTTTCCTTAGAGCCTTATAAAACTAAATCTGTGCTACAGCATAGGCATTTCATAGAGTTGACAATAGTCTGAACAAATACATACTGCTTATGGGTACAACGTGGGTATGTTTTTGCTTTCACTCCAAAGATAGGATACCAGCTTGATAGGCTTATAATCATACCTAATATTGCATGTTTTAAACAACATTCTTAAAATAAATCTAGCAAAATTACTTTGTGCATCAGGTAAGTATTTCAGAAAGCTCTTACTCTCTATGCTTCTTTCCCTCAGCAAATCACTAAAGAGTCTTCTTTCTTTCTGGGAGCAAGAATAACTTTCGCATAAAGTTTTAGTCTTCAAGAAGATGATGCAATTCTGCTCTTAAGAAAATAATACATAGGTTCTTCTGAAATCAAGGCAGTAAGTCTTTTATCTAAAGTCAGGAGGAATATTTCTCGGTATCTCTTGTTGGCTATCAGATGAAGAATTATGTGAAGAATGCAGTTAGCAGCTGCTGGTTTCAGTCTAAGCCAGGTTCCCAGTATTGTTTGTCCTTGAGATTACTGTCTGGAAACAAGAAAATTTTATTTAAGTTCTTTTCCCTAAAAAAAATAAATTACTCTTTCCTCTTGTAGCCCACTGTTGTTAAGCATGTAGCTTAGGCTTAAGTGGTTAAACACAGAGGAAGATGTTTCTTAGAGATTTACATTTTTTCATTTTGTTCTCCAGATGTTATAGGTCATACATAAAGATTTTTTTTTCATTGCATTATCTGTTTTTCTTAGCAGGAAACATTACAACTACTTCAAGTTACTAACTTTTCTAATGATTTTGTTTGAAGATTGAAATTGTGTCCCTTTAAAGTTGACGGCAAACCTTGTGTGATATGATTATGAAGTTTGTGTAGAGACAAGGTGGAGAGACCTTCTTGAGAATGTTTGTCCTAGGATCTTAGGAAAATTGACCAAAAAAGCAAATGCTTGATTGAGCAGGAGAATCCTGGCGATATGTATACAAAATTCCAGCCTCTGTGTCTCATCTAAACAGCACCTCCCACTTGTTTTCATCATAATAATTTGAGAGATCTAAGTGGAGTTTGTTGTCACATTAGAAGGTTGCTAGACTGTGCTGTACCTCCATTAAATACTTGGAGTGACTTCCTTGCAGCAGTTTGGGTACCTTGCTCCTGCAAGGATATGGATTGTATGTTTGGGCTTTTTCTAATAGGGTACTAAAAATGCTGGAGCCCCACCTAGTGCATGAACATTTAATGCTGCTAGAGAAGTTATAAAATGTGTAAGAGCAGAGAGGATGGAAGGCAATCCCATTAGTGGGAAAATGTTACCCTTTCTGTGAAATAACTTGCATTACTACATCAGTAACGGATTGGAAGAGAAAATGTAAAAAGTACTGGTTAAATGCAGGTTTATTTGGGGAAGGTGATTCTGTAAAGGTTAATCTTATTGTGCCTTAAAGGGACTGCATATATTAAAAGATTTAACTGTGTTAGAACCCAAGTATGAGCAGTCCAATTGAAGGCTAGTTACAGTCTGAAAAATCACTGTGAGATCAGGACATGTTTAGCACATTTAGGTTAGATAAATCTGATTAAATCCAAGCACATTTGACCTTGCCCTGCTGCATGTTTCCAGAAAAAAAATTGTTAATAAACAGAAAGACTGGGACTTTCTGGTTTGATTATGCAATTTAGGATTGTGCGTAAAATCCTGACTCCATGGAAAGTCAGCAAGACTGTTTTCATTAATTTCATTTGCATCAGCTTTCACCCTTGGATTTTGAGATTAATTTTTCTCAGAGAGCTAGGATTTGCTGTCCCTGTGAACTTGAACTTCCCTGCAAAGGGTTGGAAGGAAATCCTCTTAGAAAACCAGCGTTGTAAGTATAATGGGCTGGCCAGCAGTCTCCCCTCTCTACCAGAGAAGAGGGAAGTTGCCTTCGAGATTCTGCCAGAGCCCATTTTAAAATAAAATAAATACAGTGCACTTTTTGAACTTCTTGAAAGGTGGGTGGAAAGTTTTAGTCAGTGTGCATTTTTATGCATAAATGTTTCATTAGAAAAAAGATAATTTTTCTTCTAAACAATTCACCTCGACTGGTTTAAGTAATTTCCTTTCAATGATTATGTACATATTCAGGAATAATAAGATTTTGTAAAAGAAGAAAATCTGAAATATTAGTGTTACTTCAGGAAGTTCAATGCATCAACATTTCTAGCAGTATAGAAAGCTACACTTATATGAAATTCAGGCTTTGTTAGTATTTTTGACAGTTATGCACCTAAATTTGAGTATGAGTGTCAAATGGAAATCATTGGTTTATTAATGAACTTGTTACACATGCACATGTTAAATGCTTTATTGGATAAAAAGCTAATTAGGGCTAATAACATACATTTTTGTTCACAATTTAAGTCTATCTTGACCAGGCTATGGTCAGAAATGGCATAACACTGTGTTTTGTAAGGTTCATGGATTTATAGGACTAAGAATATTACAAGCCTGCTGGTGTTATGTTACTGAAAGTACAGTGTGTTAAAATGTATTTATATTTTTCAGTGGTAGTAACTAAAATCAGCTATAGGGGATTTCTAATAACAAAAACATACTACGGTGTTTTTCTCCCCTAAAAAGTATTGTCTTATGTAGATCTGTACTAGTACTACAAGTTAGTTATTTCAGCATTTTGTGCAGCCTCTGGTAACTTGTTCTACACAAAAGAAGTTTTCATTGTAGATGTGGAAGCTTTTTTTATGTAATCTCTGAATTATAAGAATTTCTTCCCTGTTTTCTGGATTTAGGAATCATGCATGTCTCTGTAAAGCTTTAAATAGTATAAGCACAGTTGTGCTATGCCCTCAAAAGAACATCTTTTCAGCTTAGTTCTGAATTAAAATGTAAAAATAAAAAAATTACATAACTCAAACTGATGTGTCATGAGGACAAATAAACTATTATGCAAGTAAATAAAATGTTTTTTACTATAACCTGAAGAAATCAATTTATTTCTATTGACCTCATAAAATTCTTGTATCTGCTAGGGTGCTTGAAAATCACAGTCATTTAATTAATGGTTTCTTTTAAACAACACAACTGTAAAAAACAACAAAAAAGGAAACAAGCTGATGTCCATATTGCACATTAAACAATTTTTATTGTCTAGTTATGCATCAACATGTAAATACGCTAGTAGCTTGTAAAACGCAATACTTATTTAATCAAAAATGCTGTGTCAAGTAGCATTGTCCTTGAGGTCAAAATCAGTGTTATTGATTGTTATGGGAGCCACACGGTAATCTGTGCTTCCACGTACAGATCATAGGACCTGGCCCAGCATCACAGGACTTTGCAGGAGTTGGTTTAGATCAAACACAAGCAAATGTCTATACCACATCAGGGTCTAGTAGGCTGCTTCTAAGCTGCTGTTTCTTCAGTATTCAACACTTCATTCTCATAAGGGATGCTTGGGAGCTTCACACCCTGATTCCATCATTCTTAGCTATTGCTCCCCTCCTTCCACCTTCTTCTCCCAGAGAGTTTTCTGAAGTCCAGTTGTTTCAATGGTCAAGTTTACAGTGGTGTCCCACAAATACTTTTATTGATGCATATTTATGGAGTGGGTGAGCACGTTGCAGATGGGAACTTCTTAAGCTAGATTTGCTGTCAAATCTAGCATATTGTATAATTATACCTTTGCTAGCACAGCTATGCTGTCACTAATTTGAATACCGTGCTAGGTAAAAGGCTTTCTGGTTGCCCCCTTGGAAAATGTGTAGTTTGAAGCCTGTGTAAATATGACTGCAGAGCTGGCAGAAATTGTAATTGAGAGTGATATTTCTAACAATTTGAGCTCAAATACAAGTCATGGATCTTTTAGTAACCGGTCATCCAGCCCCACGCTTGTCCAACATGAAAGTGAGGGGGACAACTTAAAGCACAGTTATGCAGGTGACTGTGACCTTGAAATGTAGTTTCATTCATATATTGGAAAATAATTTATTTTACTTTCCTATTGTTCTTGCTGTTCTGCCTGTCCAAGAGTAATAATTCAGGGTTTTTTCTCTTCTGTGGTTTGATTTGATTGTGATTACACAAGAACAGATAAACTGAGAAAAAGGTACCACTTTTACATGTTCAGCTTTCAGAGTATAGCTCAGGCTGGGCACATTAAGTTGAACTTTAATGATTTAGCCTGATCAGTCTTTTAGTTGCTGGAAAAATGAATGCTGATATCCTAACATAAAAGCAAGCAAACAAAGAAAACCCCACCACTTGTACCAAATGAGGTAGTTGGAAACTTTTTTTATGCAACAAACTCCAAGATGTGTAAAAGTAACACCAGGAGTTAGATTTTCAAACTTAGTAATAGCAAGAGACGAGAAATACTACTCTGAATGTGCTCCATTGTATCACAGCATTTAAGAGATCTCAAAGTGATGACTGATTTTATTTCTACCATATTCCAAGCTCTAATGACAGAGCTGCTGTTGCTTAAGTAAATGTGCAGATTCTGTATTAGGCTGTAGAATTTCTGCAGCACTTGTGGAGAGACTTTTTGTTATTACAGAAATTCTAAAAAATTCAGGAAAATCCTAAAGAGAACTTGTCCAAGTTTTACCATCCTGCACCAATAGTCATAGTTGTCTTTAATGTATTCTCTACAAACTGTTAGGGTGTATGAGTGTAAGAGTTTTGGGATCAAGGTAGCTGTCAGCATTTTAGAATTGGGTTTGGGTGTTTTCTTTAACTCAAATTGATTGGCTATGGATGCTATTTGTAATTTATTATCTTTGCTACATCTTATTTTAGAAAAATGAGAAGGGAAAAAATTGTTTATTTTAAGTGTGTTAATATAAATTTGAAACTTGCTATAGATTGCTATCAAGGACAGTTCTGTGCATACTCCATAGCTCACGTGAAAAATTTAATGCGTTGTATTTCCATGTTTAGATATTGCAAATGGCTCCAGTTCAGGAGGATACCGTCCCCCTCCCAGAACAAAAGAAGTGATCATCAATGGACAGACAGTGAAATTAAAATACTGTTTTACTTGCAAGATTTTCCGCCCACCTCGTGCCTCACATTGCAGCCTTTGTGATAACTGCGTAGGTGAGTAAAAAAAGACATGGCATATGTTCAATTTAGTAGCTTATATATTGTTATGAATACTTGTGATACAAGAGAGAAGAGAATCAGTTAGTGACAAGATAACTCATGAGGTCACTTGCTGCGTTCACCCTTCTTTCCTACAGGCTCTGTTAAATGTTAAGAATTTTAGAGGAGGCAGAAGAGGAGATTTGGCCTAACAGATAGTTGTTGCTAATCTAAGAAGGAAAAATATCTTCTGATGCATACATCTTTCCTAACCTGCTTTGCAAGACAAAGAACACACCCAACTTGAATAGGGCTGCATAGTATGTGCGATGAACTTTCCAGTGCAGAGAACCAAGTTCTATGGGAGTCTCAGAATTGTTTCCTTCACCAAACTAAACTGAGGGCAAGGACCTGCTTCTCCAGTTCCTTACAGACTAACTGTAAGACATGGTTCGAATGGTTAGGGCTTGCACTGTGACCAGAATACATACTGTTGGTGATTCTTACCTTTGAACAGTTTTAAGACTAGAAATTTTAAAGTCAGAATCCATAAGAAATTACTGGGCAAGCATGCTATTTTGAGAGTAAGTAGATGTTGTCAGGTCCTAAGGGTATTTTGTAATGATAGGGGGTTTTTTTCCCTGAACATCTTGTCTTTTTTCATGACTGTTTTCTTTGGAGGGCAGACAAGGTGATTAAGATATGCTTGGATTTAAAAGCAAACCAAAAAAACCCACCAATCAAATCTGAGTAGTTTCTAGTTAATTAGATCACATTTAGAGTTTAGTGCAGCTGATTAGCACACTGTTGAGCCTGGATCTTATGCATTCAAGAAAATAATGTAGAAAGATGTCTCCAGCTGAGAAATGTAATTGCAGCATTCAGCAGTGATATTTTTAGATATAAAGCAGTCACTGGAAGAATTACAGTTTCATGTTTAGATGATATTCATTTAGGGACTACACTTACATCAGAGTGAAAAGTTTAGCCTTTTGGCCCTATACAATTGATTGGTATCTGTAGATGGTTCCTTCAGTAAATAAGATTTTCTAATGTGTTAGAATTTTGTAAGTGTTGTAAAAGCTATTGAGCTTGGCAAGTAGGGATGTTTATGAATTGCAGTTGACACATTTTCAGAAAAATGTATCAAATGTGTAACCTGGACATTACAGTGTTGTGGTATTGCTCAGCAAACCTGATAATATGAAAATGTGGTTGTTGACCAGTGCAGTAAATAAAAGATAAAGGCTGTTGTCTTTACTGAGAGTGCATAAATAAGAGCAACTCCCACACACACATCCTGAAGCTTATTTCAAAGCCATGTTTCAGGTTTTTTAATAAACTGGTATGAAGGATTTTTCTACAGGTTATTCTGTAATCCAGTGGTGTCCTTTTCATACTAAATTTCGACAACCTACTCTGTGAAACATACAATTAGTGATGGCAGGGAAACAACTTAATCTTTGTCTTCTGATTATGCCTGTAATGAAGCAACAAATTTGAATTATTATGAATGTATATCAGAAAAGAGTCTGAGCAAATGGCTCATATAAGTGATAATTGTATCCAAGATTAGTCTTTTCTGCTCATAAAAGAGGTGTGATCATTGTAATTTCCTCTTGCACAATTTTTAATTTGAAGTTAGTTGTTTTAAAATAATTCCATCCATTTATTGGAATGAATTTCCTGTGGTTTTTCTCCTCAGCATTTATAATGGGAATTACAATAATCTATGACTTTTTCGGGGTACATTGCATAGTACTTTTGTTTCCTGATTAGGTATAGGTATTTGGCATATAAATATTCAGGTGTACTGAATGCAAAAAGTGAAATCTGCAAGTACCTGCAACTAATCTTCTGTGAAAAATAGGTGTCAGGAGAATCGGATTGCTCATGTACTTGTGGAAAACTAGGTAGTCTAAGAGCGTACACTTAATCAGAATATGTTATGCAGTTTACCACCACTCTTAAGGTAGGATTGTCTATACGATGGTGCTTTTATTTAATTTTAGTTTGTGAATAAATCTTGTAATAGCAATGAGTGTTCTTGTGCCACTATCATTTGCTAGTTCCTCACTGATGTAACTAAACCAATGCAAAAATATTCCTATTTCACACACACATGGATATTTACGTAACTCACGATTGCAACTCACTACCAATATAGCTATGCATTCCTTTTTACCATACACTTCCTGAAGCTTTTGCTGTGTAGTTATAAACTAACTACAGAGACTATGTGATACAGGAATGGAGTCTTTCTTCAAACCAACACTCACTGCTCAGAAAAAACAGTATGCTACTTTTACCTAAAGGTGTTTTATGATACTGGGCAAATGAATGCAGTGTGAAAGAGAGGTTCTTTCATTCTGTATTTTCTGTTGAAGCTTTTCATTGTGTAAGGAATCCTTAGCAGCATTTTAAATGTGTAAGTACATACAAAAATTTATTCATTGTTGGTTTTTTCCCTCTTTTGAATTAATCTTAACTTTCTAGTTGTCTAATCGGCATATCTGTTACTTGATCTTGTTTCTGATTTTCATCACTGATTTTTTTATAAATGGCTACGTAGTATATTTAGATAAAAATGTGAAGAAATAGTTTTAAAAAAAACGAACAAACTAATTTGAGTTCTACCCATAATAATACTTAAAACTCCTTTAGCTTTACAATATTTTCATAGTAGTCTCTGGAAAAAATCTGGATTTTCATATAGATGTAGTTGGTTGCATTTATGTAATACCTTCAAAAATTTGGTTGAATAAGTGTTCCCTGAGGGAAATATCTTGGGTGTATTCCTGACTTGCTTTCTTTAACTGCCTTTGCAAATGGCAGTTGGAAATTATCCCCTCAAGGGTTTTTTGTGTACCATTATGTTGCTTAAAAATTATAAATGAATTGAAAATAATGTAAACATAAATACAAGAGATAAAGGTTAAATAAAAAAAAGAATAACCACAGCAGGCATAAATTCTGAGCTCAAGCTAGTTATTGCTGGGTTTTGACAAGAGGTTTTGGTTGCACTGTGTGATGCTAGTAAGAAGCCAGTGGTTGGGCTTTCTTATGAAATGACCAAATGACTTTTTTAAAATTTATTTTTGGTCATTTCAACATCAACTGTGTAATATCCTTTTATTGTTTGGTTTTAATAAATAATTTTTGTCTTGTTTAATTTGATTTCTATAATAAAAGCTGAACAAGAAGACCTGACTGTTTCCAAACAATTTATTTAAATATACTACTGAATAACTAACAAGAAAGAGTGAATAATGATTAGCAAGCAGTAAATCAACTTAGTCCAATAATCTAAATGTCTAAAGCCTTCCTTGCATTCACATGCTACAGTTTTGCTTATCAAGCAAAGTAACTGATTTAGATTAAGGCAAAAATCCAGTATGGTGGAAGAAGAGATCCACCATTTATATTAATCTAAGAGAATATAGCCTTTTTATTTGTTTCAGAATCTGTACATCGTAAATTTCTGTGTGACTGATGGATAAAGATAGCTTATCTTTTCCAGTTCCACTGTGTTTCTTTCAACAAGTGATTTTTTTTTTCTTTTCCACAGAGGTTTCAAAGCTCAAATTTTTCAAACTGGATGTCAGAACTTAACTTTGAAACATTTAGTTTGATTTTTCAGAAATCACTGATGAACCTGAGAATGGTATTCTAAGTTAGACCAAAGTTTCAGTTCGTGCAGTAGCCCATTTCCCGCCATGGCCGGAGTGGATCCCTGGGGAAGAATGGGAGAAGAGGGCGACCACACGGGGATTCTTCCTGCTGAATATTCTCACGCTCTCAGAAATTTTCAGCACAGGCCTTCTTGAACCCTGGAGGTTTTCCCTTTTTTTTCAGTAGCTCTTTATGGATCCTAGTTGGCCTTCCTTGTACCTAATAAAAACTTTTTGAGATGGGGAACCAGGATGCCAGTAGTGCTGAAGGTGCACATACCACACTGGCATTTTCTATCGATGTTTCTGTTTTAGTAGGAGATAGATAGGATTCCTCTCACTTGTAAGTCTGATTGCTTTTATACAGATCCTAAACATTAGACCAAGTGTCAAGATTTTGAGAGAAACTATGCTATATTAGAAGCTAATAGGCACCCCCTTTCTGCTTAAATCTTTGCTTCTGTAAAACACTTCTGCCAGGCAATTGTAGGCATTGCCTTTTGTTTTTGGTCTTGACCAGGCTACATTAATTTATTGTTTTGAAAATGCAATGTGTTATGTACCCAGCAGTATGCCAAACAGCAGAATTTGGATAAAATAATTGTTTTTAAAAGTAATTTTCCAGACTAGGCACCAGTGCTGTAAATTTACTTTCTTAAAATGGGGAATTAATTATTAAAACACACATATAACACACGCAATGTAAGACAAAGATTGAGAATTACCAGTGTGTTCTGGGAGAAGCCTTTCCCTGTAGTCGCTCCAGATACCACCACCTTCCAACCTGGAGAACACAAATTACTTCAAAAACAGGCTGAGAGGTGGCATTGTAACAGTTTGGTTTTTTAACACTGACACTGTGTCTGAGAGTAATTTTCCAAGGACTTTGTGGTCCTTTATAATCAGCGTGGATTTGTTTGATGTCAGGACTTTGTTTTGCTTGGGTTTAATTCCATTCTGTAGCATTCCTCCTTCATTACCCTATGAACTCCCTTCTTGCTTTCAGTTCATTTTCATGAGCTTTACCTATTTCTTTCCCTGCATTTCCTGCAATGGAGTACAATTTTCACTTCATTTTGGGGCCTGATTTTTGAATGTGTTAAACCTTAGCTCTGGGTCTCTTGAAGTGACTCTCTAGCTGAACAGTTAAAACTACAAAGTTGGCTGCTATGTCCTCTTTTCTCTCCTGTCTTTTCTCTCCTCTTCTCTTCCTAGTTCTTACATGTGAGAAATGGCTTTGGTTCTTCTTGTTTGTGCTACCTTTTTGGGGCACTCAAGAAGCTGCCAGGGTACACACCAGCACTTAGAGAAGTGATATATTATTTGTTTATGATTGTGCTATAT